CGGTTCTCTCAAAAAGTAGGTTGTGCCAAATTAAGTACAATTTAGTACACATAAGAACCAATTTCCAAAACTTCCTACATACCCCAATCCTACACTCCAACAGATATCTTGTTTCTAAAATTCAGCATTCCAGGTCTATCGGTTCACCCAAACTGAAATTTTACCAACAATTCTACAAATTTCGAATACTACCCCCATATTCCAATCCAATTTCGAATATCAGGGTTCCAACTCATCCAAATTCAAATTGTACCAAATTTAGTACTATTCGTATACATGAGTACACATTTCCAAAACTATATCCTTTCATCGATTCCCCAACCCTTATTCTCATTCCAAATTTCAAGTTCTTAGCTCTCACCGTTCACATGATTCGTAATGGTACCTCATGTAATATATTTTTGTAAACTTCGTACACTTATAGTGCTAATTTCCAAAAACCTTTTGGTAAATCCATCATACACTCCACTAGAGAATTTCATTTTAAATTAAAGGGTACCATATTTAGTATTTTATACTACTTTTGATACCATTCTGGTACCAATTTCCACCTTCGGACCAAGAGTGACCCTCGCCCAAAATTTCAAAATTCTAGCTTCAGCCGTTTCGTCTTGGCGTTGGTGAATTATTAATTCAGTCAGTAAGTCATTCAGTCAACTACTTTACTCTGTTATTAATATAGATGAGCTAAATGGAATTCGGACGGATTAAGGTTGAAAACAATTGGAGCAAAAGCCTAAATTATGACTACATCGTTTGTACCCAAAATCCCCCAATATACAAAATTGTACCATATTCTGTGGAAAATGTACTAAAATTTCAAAATATCAAATTGCCGAGCTTTTACTGTGGCATCTTCAAAATAACTGAAATCCGTCACCTGCTTTACAGATTTTCAGAAATCACTTTCCACCCATATACAATTTTCTCAGATTCTCTATTCAAAGCGGTGTGTGTAAGTATGTGTGTGTTTGATGCAAAGTGTTTAGTTTTAAATTAATTGAACTCTTTGTTGTTTGTGTTGTTGCATGGTGTTGATGTTATTATCCCTGTCATCATCACCGTCGAATCAACAACGATGGATAACATTGTCGCGTAGAAGGAGGCATTAATATTGAAAGCGTACAATAATGGCTGGTTTACATGCTGCGAAGTGTTAATTTAACGCTACTAAAGTGTCAAAATCACTCCAGACTACATGGAAAATATACAATAGGTACAGCAAAATATAATGAACTAGAATGTGTGCACTTCATTCAAAGTTTATTAACATTAGTAAGTAATATAGTAAAATTAGATTGAATGGGACATTAAAAATAGTTTTTGCTCAAATTTAAAGATCTCCAATAAAATTGTTAATTAAAAGCAAGCAAAAAAGCAGTAAGTTCGGCCGGGCCGAACTTTGAATACCCTTCACCATTTGGAACGAATTAGACAATTAAAAAAAAAATAAAATAAAATAAAATCCATTAAAAATTCTGTTAAAATCGTTAAAATACCTAATATCGGAAGGAGCCAATATATGGGGGTATACGATATTGTGGACCTATATAGACAAATCTATGTCTGGGGGTAAAGTACTCACAAGGAACTCCTTGTGTGGATTTTCAGACCATTCCGTTGAAAAATGTGACTAAAATCATCAAAATACTGAATATCTGGGGGTACCTTTATATGGGGGCAATACGATATGTTCGAATTATGGCCTTCAAGCGGCCAATGAAACCGTCACACGCTGCCCGAATGTTGCTCTGCGATATTTTGGCCCTTTCCCGACGAAGCGCTTGCTTGAGGTGATCGACCCCTTGGTATTTTTAGTGCCAACCTTGCTTTCTAAAATACTCCAGACACAGTAGTCCAACGGATTGGTATCCGGAGATTTTGGTGACCATTGTGCGGTGGAAATGAAGCGAGGAACCTCATTTTGTTAACGATTCTTGGGTGGCGCGTGCTGAGTGCGATGGTGCTGAGTCCTGTTGGAATGTCCAAGATCTGCAGCCAAAATGTTTGCGTGCCCAAGGCTTTAATACATCCTCCGGAATATTTTGGCGATAATATTCGGCATTTATTCTGATGTCACGGTCGATCGGAGATCGACCATCGGCTGTTATGGCGGCCCACACCATCACCATGGCCGGCATTTTAGTTCTGGTGGCCAATCGAATGTTCACATTTTCAGCTGACCTCTTTGGCAAGTAATCACGGTCATTTTGTTTCTTTACAAACTGCTGGACAACGAATGTTTTCTCATCGGAGAAAACCAATTCGGCAGTTTACCATTTTCGGCCAAGCGAAGCAACTCTTTAGCTCTTTTGAGTCTATTTTCTTTCTGTTGCGGTGTAAGTTCTTGCACTTTTTGTTGGAATGTCAATGGCTTTATCTCGAGCCCATTTTCCAATATTTGCCAAATGGAATATTGCTGTATGTTCAGCCCACGAGCCTTTTTCGACCACTGCGACGCGGGTTTCGATCAAGTAGCTTCTTTACTTTTCGAACCATTTCTGCAGATGTTGCTGTTTTCTTCCGTCCACTTCCTTGACGTCGGGCTACGCTACAAGTATCACGGTAACGAGCGATGGTACGAGACACAAACGATTTATTCACATTTAAATGCTGGAGTGCTTCAACGATAGCCACTTGTGGTTTTCCATACAAATATAAACAAATCACACTATCACGCTTGAATTCCATAACTAATAACATTTTTCTGGAAAATTCTCACCAAAATGATGGAATAATTTTAAAAGCTGTCGGACGAATAGCTTAGCAGTCTGAAGTTGGTTGCAGTTTTTTCATCTCACCCTGTATATGTATAAAAGAGCAGTGAAATAACTGACTGACAGTCACTAATGGAGTGCAAGATAGATCTACCAAAGGGTTTTTGGAAATTCGAACTTTAATTCTTCAACTTCTTCTATTATGAGAATGGATAGAGCTAAAAACTGGTTGAAATGTTAGTTTGATATATGCAGTTGATTCTGGAAATGTGTACTAATTGTGCGAACTGTTCTAAATGGTATTAACTTTGGACAAGTTTGCTAAAGGGTGAACGATTGAATTTGGAATTTCGAAAATTTTTATTATGGACCCTGAAATTTGGTATTAGGGTCGCATTTCTTGTATAGTCTGGACATACGGAGGTTGTTTCGGTAATGATAGTACATAATTGTTCGAGAAATACTAAATGGTACTGAATTTGGTATTGGTTGTAGGGATAGAGGTAACATTTTGAGATTTGATATATAGATTACAGATGGACTGAGTGTTTTGAGATTTGGGGTTTGTTTGGAAATACACGAACTACGGAAGAGTATATATGGGAGCTATAGCTATATATGAACCAATCTTCACCAAATTTGACATACTAGCTTCTAGACTCAATTGGGTCGCATGTGCCAAATTCCATCCCATTTGGACCAATATTAGACGTTTGGTGCACAATAAAAGGTAAATCGGACGAAGTTATATATGGGAGCTATATCCAAATCTGAACCGATCTCGATAAAATTTAGCAAATGTATTTCTGAGTTGTATTTGATATATTTCCCCAAATATTGTTGTTGCATAGTGCATATTACGGCTGCGGTGGACAAAAATAACAAATCGGATGAACAATATATATGGGAGCTATAGCTATATATGAACCGATTTCGATAAAATTTGGTATACTTATTTTCAGGCCTAATCTGGTTGTATGTGCAAAATTCCATACCATTCGGGCTGATATTACACGTTGGGTGCACAATAAAAGGCAAATCGGACGAGAATATATGTGGGGGCTATATCTAAATTTTGACCGATTATCTCAAATTTGAATATGGTTCGTCCTTGGGCCAAACAAATGATTTGTGCAGAATTTCATCTGGATAGGACAATAAATACGAACTGTACTTTGTTTACAAAAATACATAGACAGACGGACAGAATGTGATTCTATGGAGATCATCAAAAGGAACTATGGGTCTATCTCGTTTCCTTTTGCCTGTTACAAACAAATGCACAAAGACATAATACCCTGACCACCTTGTGGTGTAGGGTATAAAAATTGGGCTATATTGATTACTTCCTTCGCTTTACATGAAATATGTGATAATTTTTTGAAAATGTCCATTAGTTACCAGAACCCTATGTGTGGGGTGGTATCAGAATGAATGGTCCGATCTCCACCATCTATATAACAGATCTTGTGTTGATAAAAATATTGAGATGTTTCAAGTCTGAATGGAATCAGATGTTATTTTATTCGTTTTATTAGCTTCATGGTTGTTAAAAATGTTAACCCTTCGTGGGAGAGATATCAGAAGGAGTCGACCGATTTTTTCCATATTCACACAAGACTTTGGGATATTAAAAATACTGTGATGTTAGAAATTTTAAGACTCTTACATCAGAGTTATAATTATTCCCCCTTGTGGGGGATCTACTTGATGGTGTGGATCACAGCACTGAGGCAAATATTAGGATTTGCAAAGTGGGACCAAAATCGGATAATCGTTTCTCTTTCTGCGCACTAAAATATATTTTTTTGAAAATGTCGACCTTTTGTTGGGAAGGTACCAGAAGGAGTGGACCGATATTGTCCATCTCCGAATTCGACCTAAGTTTGATAATAATATTACGATATACCAAGTTTAGACCAAATCGGATATGCGGCCAATCCGGCCAGCCAGACAGACAAACAGACGAACGGACAGACATCGCTAGATCGATGCTTTTTTGTTTTGGCCGTATATGATATATACCCTCTCTAGTCATATGGCTGAGGGTAAAATTTAATTCCGATCTTTTAGCTCAGGCCTACATTGCGTGGTTCATCGAGAAAACGCTAATAATATATAAATACATGCTTTCTTTTTTTTACATGAACAAGTAAAACTTTAGATGCCTCGGAAACTTATCATACTACTTTATTTCCAAAAAAAGGTTAAGCATTTCCAATAGCTTACTATATTGCAAACAATTTTCCACCTGTTAAATTTTCAATCATGAAAAAAACTTACCGGCATTCTCGATCCTCCTTGCAGGCTTCGGCCACAGCGTGACATGAAGGCGGTGGTGTATAACTCTGTTGATTATTGTTATCGGGCGGTCTTTGTGCACAAACCGGATGCAGTTTTTCCTGGGCAATCATACAACTGTCATGGCGGTTTGATGTTTTCCTTGTGAAAATGACAAAACAAAAAAGAAAAGTTAGTCGAGCAAAAAAATAAAAATGCCCCCCAAAAATACACAAACACTCCAACACAGACTATAATTAAGCACAACAATTTTCATTAGTTCAAATGTCAAACAAAAAACTTTTTTTTTTTTTGGATTTCAAATGATTGCACTCGTTCGAAATGAAAGAGAGAAGAAGAGATTTCTATTTGGTAGTGTTTGAGTGTTTGTAGCACTAAGGCATGTTTGTTGGCTTGATTGTAACTAATCCAATCCCCGCTGCCTCGTCCTCCTCTCAAAAAACCAAACACCATCATAAAGAGAACTTCAACTTACTTGCACAGACAAAAGGCCACATCTAAATTTAAGTCCTCGTGCGGTCCTTTATAAAAGGCCTGCAATGAATTCATGCATGCATTACGATTACAGCGATGCATCTCACAATGCTGCAGCATGGGCTGCAACGATGAAGCACAGGACGGATCTTCACGGCATGTATCCAATGCTGTATGACAGGTACTCTAATGAGACCCAATCACAATGGGTCACCGGCCACCAAAAAACGAACGAAATGCCAAAGTAGAAATAGTGGTGGAGTTTTATAGTTGTATTTGTCGTTTTTGTTATTGTATTTGAACAGTAATTGTTGTTGTCGTAGGCATCGGCATCGTCATCGTCATCATCATCATCATCAGCATGGTAGTCATTTTTGAATATTGTCGAGCAATGGGGATGTCAAGTTGTTTTGCAGCATTTTCAAAAAGGACACATCGAGAGAGAGGGAGAGAGAGAGAGGAGTGAATAAAAGAACAACATACAACACAAAAGAGTTTATAAATGAATGAGTTCAATCAGTTAAGATAACAGAAGGATGATCCAGCTGCAGCAAAGTCCAAATACAAAGACTTTGTCATAGACAATGTGACTGAAAACAAAACAAGAACAAAAAAAACGAATGGTCCAGAATTGACAAATAACCCTAGTCGGAATTGTCATGGGGACTTCTTTGTTCGTTTTGCATGTTAGAAAATACAGATTGCTTTAACAGCAATATGTTGTTGAATTTTTAAGGGATTATTTGAATTTAAATTGAGTGTTGAAGGAAAACCGAGAAATAAATCAACTATAAAAAGTCAATATTTGAGTAGACAGGCGATACCCTATAAAAGTAGATATACATTATAGCAAGGTAAATATTGCCGGAAAAAAAGATTTTTAACTACTTATAGATTTCTGTAGAACAAAAAATCTAAATGAAATAAAATCTTAATCTTTTTGAAATTTCACATTAACAGAACATCTTTTAATTGTATCCAAAAATCGGAGAAGCTCATAGAGTATTTTTATAAACACAGAAGTATTCTACAGGTCAACAAAAAAAAAGTTCCTCTAAGCATCTTCGATAGATACATAGAAAAACTTGTGATGATCTTAAATGAGCTAAAGGTGCCTGTACATAATCCCTATTGCAATTTTGGGGACTATGTTGTTTTTATTTGTCGTAACACCCATAATAACATCAGAAGTTTTTCTACAAAACAATCGAAGATTATTAGGAGACATTTTTATTTCCGGGCACCTTTCGCTCATTTAAGGTTAACGAAGTTATTCTACCTATATATCGAAGATCCTTAGATGACATTTTTTTATATCCTGGGGAATACTTCTATGTTTTTAAAATGCCATAAACTTGAGTTTCTCCGATTATTTGAGATAATTATAAAATTTTCTGTTCATGCCAAATTTCAAGAAGTTTAAATAAGGTTTAAGTTTGAGTTTGGGGCTGTTCTCGGTTTGAAACGAAATTGCTGGTTTCTATATGTGTTGAATATGGAACTCGCGGTTGCGAAAAGCTTTTAAAGAATATTCTTATCGCATTCTATTGAAATTTTAAAGATAAAATACCAATTAAGACAGAATTCTTATAAGGTCTTCATCAAGAACTTTTACAGGAAGAAGAACTTCGAAAAGTATTTATTGGTAACAAGGCGATCAGAAAATCTTCCATAGAATAACACTTTTTAAAGTTATCTTAAAGTCAAATAAATTATTTGAGGTCACCTATAGGTGGAGGATCTTTTAAAGATCTTCTGAATCTGAGAGAAATGCCTTTCATTCGCTAAAGGCTCTGTTAAGTTCGAGAATTTCTAATTCCTTAATGGCGCAGCTAATCTTATAGATTTCTCCAGGAACTTTCTTTACCTGAAATAGAAGGTATTTCATGCAATGCATTTCATAGATTGGATATGCTTTTGGAGAATGTTTCAAAGGTTATTATTCATGTTTAAATGACTTTATATTGTCATTTCAAACATAAAATACCCTTTTAGGCAGAATTCCTTACAAGGACATAATCAGTATCTTATGAAGCCCTTCTAAAAGTAATTTTTAAGAACAAGACGATGTAAAGATCTTTAACAGTCGAATACTTTCATAGGAAAATTGTTTGAGGTCACCTATATGTTGAGGATCTTCTATTAGTTGAAAACCTTCTAAAGATTTTCCTAAGGTTCAAGAGCTTCTAATACCATAATGGGACAGCTTATTTTATAAAGCAATCCCTCCAGGGGCTTTCTTTACATGAAATACATTCTAAATATATTCTATAGATTGGACATGCTTTTGGAGAAGCTTTTAAGGGTTATTCTACTTGTTTAAAAGATCTTCTATTGACATTTTAAAGATAAAATACCCATTAAAGCAGAATTCCTTACAAGGACATCATCAGGATATTCTGCAGGGCGAAGCCCTTCTAAAAGTACAAGAGGCTTTAAGGTAGTTACAAGAGGCTTTAAAGACCTTCTTTAGAGGAATACTTCTTAAATGCCTCTAGATTCAAATTGCTTTAGGTCATCTATAGGTTGAGGACCTACTAAAGAACTTCTGCTGACAGAAGTGTTTCTAAAAGCCTTCAATTCCTCGAAGACTTTGTAAAGATTTTCCTTAGATTCCAGAATTTCGAATGCCTTGTAAAACCTAAAAAACAACAGAAGGGTAAGTCAGAATTTATATCAGGCAAGTTTCCTGGAATAAATTAAGAGAGAAGGGCAAGGGGAATTCAAATGGAAAAAATCCGGTACTGACAATTTTCTGGCAATTTCCTTTTTTGCTTTTAAACGTAACAAATTAAATCGATAATTATTCCAACTTCAATCGTAAAAGGTGTAGAGAGCAAAAAATTGTTGTTTTACAACAAAAGTTCTAAATGTATTTTAGAGATCATGGAAAAGATATAGGTATAGGCGATTTATTGGCACAAGACCTTCTCTTGTGGCTATAATGCCTTCGTAAGGTAATTTATAATACGAAGACTTTCTATGTGAATTTTTAACCCAAAAACCATTGAAATTCCTTTAGGGGCCAAAGTCTTTCCGCAGGTCACCTGTAAGACGAAGAACAAGAGATTTCTCAGATTTTCAGAAGACCTTCTATAGGCTTCCTATGGACAGAAGAACTTCTGAAAGATTCCGATTAACATAAGAACTTCCGAAAGTCTTCCATAAAAATAAGTCATATTAAAAGTCTTAAATAGGCAGAAGACCTTCTGCAGGACTCCTATAGGCAAAAGATCTCCTGAATGTCTCCTATAGACAGAAGACCTTCTGAAGGTCTCCTATAGACAGAAGACCTTCTGAAGGTCTCCTATAGACAGAAGACCTTCTGAAGGTCTCCTATAGACAGAAGACCTTCTGAAGGTCTCCTATAGACAGAAGACCTTCTGAAGGGGTTCTATATACAAAAAAACTTCTGAAGGTACATTATAGACAGAAGACCTTCTGAAGGTCTACTATAGACAGAAGACCTTCTGAAGGTCTCCTATAGACAGAAGACCTTCTGAAGGTCTCCTACAGACAGAAGACCTTCTGAAGGTCTCCTATAGACAGAAGACCTTCTGAAGGTCTCCTATAGACAGAAGACCTTCTGAAGGTCTCCTATAGACAGAAGACCTTCTGAAGGTCTCCTATAGACAGAAGACCTTCTGAAGGTCTCCTATAGACAGAACACCTTCTGAAGGTCTCCTATAGACAGAACACCTTCTGAAGGTCTCCTATAGACAGAAGACCTTCTGAAGGTCTCCTATAGACAGAAGACCTTCTGAAGGTCTCCTATAGACAGAAGACCTTCTGAAGGTCTCCTATAGACAGAAAACCTAGACAGACCTAGGTAAGGTAGACAGAAGACCTTATAAAAGTCTCCTATAGACAGAAGACCTTCTGAAGGTGTCCTATAGACAGAAATCCTTCTGAAAGTCCCCTACTCTTTAAAGGTCTCCTGTTCGCAGATCACCTTATTAAGGTCTTCTATAGACAAAATACCTTCTGCAGATCTCTTATAAACAAAAAACCTCCTATCGGCAGGTGGCCTTCCGAAGGTCCCCTATAAACAGAAGACGTTTTGAAGGTCTAGGGGGTTTCTCTAAACCCACAATACCACTTAAAAATGTCGTTGCCACTCATTAAATTCTCAAAATCTTACCGACTTCTAACCTTTAAAAAATGTCTGCAACTGCCTGTTTTTAATGTCAAAAAAGAAACAATGACATCCTCTGCTGCAAATGTTAAAAATCTTGACGTTATCTATGACATCATCATTTTGTTCATATGACTTTGCTGCAATAATAGTTGTAGTTTTTGTTATTGTTGTTGTTGTGGCTTACCTGAAAGTGTTGCTTGATTATTTCCGTTGAGAGGTCCACTTCAACATCCTGACCACCTATAATGCCATAGCATGGTATAAGGAGACAGTTACATACAAATGCATATAGTGGGTGGTGTTGGCATTTGGGTCGAAGGAGCAAAAACAGTGTCATCAGCATAATCATCGTTAGGCGGCAACAGTAGCAAGAATCGCATCATGGTAAACATGCAACCAAATAACCCAACCATCCATCCAAGCAGACCATGCAAGTTTGTTGTAATTACGTACATTAGCACCGAAGAACATCCAACCAACCAACCAACCCATCCAGCATTGCATTTTAGGATGGCAGTTGCAGTTGTTGTTGCCGTTGTTTGTTGTTAGGTAGGTAGCATTGTTAGCATTCAGTTTCACATATTTAGAATAGTAGGTTGAACACGACACGCAGCCACATTCAACGAACGCATCATGGCAAAACGTGTCCAAGTGTAGAGAAGATTTGTTTCGTAGAATTTAATGCATCCATCCAAACAACCAGGTTTTTTTGTTCCATTGCATTTGTAGCATTTCGTTTCATTTCATTTTATGTTTTTTTTGCAACCCAGCAGCAGAAGTTGTTCATTATAAAGTTCATTAGAACATTGCATTCAGGAGATTTCACACACACATACACACACCCGCACACACAATGATAGAACAGTTGTAAGGATTCCATGTTGTGTGTGTGTTTGTTTTTTTATTTATTTTACAACAAATAAAAAAGTCAAAAGCGAAGCCAGAGTAACAAATGAAAAAATACAGATTGGAAGAGAGTGAGAAAAAAAGAAAACACAAAAAGGTAGAGCAGAAAAAAAATATTTGTTTTAATTAATTTTGTTATGGTTAAAATTGAAATAGAATGCTGAAATACAATTTGTCATAGATATATTAAATATTTTATTAAATACATATGTGGGAAAAAATCGTTGTGTTATATATTCAGGTTAATTCACCTGAACGATTCAGATTTTTTTTATAATATAATATACAATAAAATTAATACATAAAATAGATATAATCTGAAGCAGTATGTTTAGGTTCAAGAAGTTCGAGCGTCCTTTATTTATTACATTATCATAGTATTTATATATAAGATAAAGGGTTTAGACGCTTATAGCTGAAAGCACGACAATATATTAATTTAACCGTACCTTGCACAATCCCAAATGTGAAACTTTGGCCCATTCGATGAAATATTTTGGATATCAGGACGATTTCTATATTTTATGACCTTAAAATACTCGATTTTAACTAACTAACTAATTATTCAACACTTTTCGTAGATCCAACTCATGTGGAAATTAGGTTCGAAGTCTAGGAATTTTTGTTAAAGGGTATGTTAAGTTTGGCATTCTGTTTGTAAAATCTCAAAATATAAATTTCAGACCCATGGATCCTTGATCAGCATAAAATTCTACACTAGCTTCAGAACGGATTGAAGTAAGTTGCTAATTTTACTCAGATGTGTGTTAGATTTGCAGAACTTTTGGTATTGAAAATTGAGACCTTAGGCAGAAACCCTTCTGTATGCCTCTTACAAAAAGAAGACTTTCTGAATATAACAGTATTAGGGAGTTTTAAGTTTCTTTTTTATTTTAGTTGGTTTTTGGGAGTTTTAAGTTTCTTTTTTATTTTAGTTGGCAGTATGTTGTCAATATAGGTCTAGATTTTGATATAGTCCCCATAAAACTGTACCTTCTGGTATTCGGTATTTTTAGGATTTGTGTCACACTTTTCACCTGCATTGTTTGAATTTTCGTATTTGAAGTTCCTATTAGGTACTACAGTCTATGACAAAATATAACAGATACAGGTCCATATCTTTCTATAGTCCCCACACATAGGCGTACCTCCAGATATTCGGTATTTTAATGATTTGTGTCACACTTCTCACCGGAAATATTTTTATGACTTTAGCGGCATTATTCACTGGATTTGTTGGAATTGTTTTAAATTTGATATTTGAAGTTCCTAATAAGTACTACAATATATATTTGATATACAGTTTAAATAGAGTTTTCTGTTCTTCAGTTTCCTTATTAATTGATTTATTTATTTTTTACGTCATTTTTCTAAAATAAATTTTTGTTAGAGATTTCGAGGAATATAAATCCGAAGTTTTCAAAAAGTGTTGAAAGGGATGAACTTGAACCCTCTATTTGTTTTTTTCATATTAAAACTGTTAAAACGCCTATACAGGGTAAGATGAAAAACCTGCAACCAACTTCAGACTGCTGCAAAAATTATTCCAGTGACAGCTCATACATGTTTAAAAGCGTACAAAAGAATTTTGGTGAGAATTTTCCAGAAAGAAGTTATACGTGATGGAATTCAAGCGGGATTTTTTTATATATGGCTGGAAGACCACAAGTGGTTATCGTTACAGCACTCCAGCATATAAATGTGAATAAATCTTTTGTATCTCTTACCATCGCTCTTTACCATGAAACTGGTGGTGTAGCCCGACGTCAAGGAAGTGAACGGAAGAAAACGGCATCATCAGAAGAAAAGGTTCGAAAAGTAAAGAAGCGACTTGATCGAAACCCGCGTCGCAGTGGCCGAAAAATGACTAGTGAGCTGAATGTATCGCAATATTTCATTCGGCAAATATTGAAAAATGAGCTCGGGGTATAGCCATACAAATTCCAAAAAGTGCAAGAACTTACACCGCAACAGAAAGAAAATAGACACAAAAGAGCTAAAGAGTTGCGAAAGTGGTGAACTGCCGAATTTGATTTCCTTCGATGAGAAAACATTCGTTGTCCAGCAGTTTGTAAACAAACAAAATGATCGTGTTTACTTGCCAAAGAGGTCTGCTGAAAATGGGCACCTTCGGTTGGCCATAAGAACTCAAACGCCAGCCACGGTGATGGTATGGGCCGCTGGAACAGCCGTATTAATCGACCGTGACATCAGAATAAATGACGAATATTATCGCGAAAATACTCTGGAGGAGACCTTGAATATTCCAACAGGACTCAGCTCGCGCCACCCAAGAATGGTTACAAAATGAGGTTCCTCACTTTATTTCCAGCGCACAATGGCCACCAAAATCTCCGGATACCAATCCGTTGGATTATTGTGTCTGGAGTATTTTGAAAAGCAAGGTTGCCACTAAAAAATACCAAAGTGTCGATCACCTCAAGCAAGCGCTTCGCCGGGAATGGGCCAAAATACCGCAGAATAACATTCGGGCAGTGTGTGACGGTTTCATTGGCGGTTTTAAGGCCATAATTCGTGCCACAGTTGACGAATTCGAACAAATCTAAACTTATTCTAAAATTTGATGTTATTTCCGACATTTTTTTGCTTTCATTCAATAAAATTTAAAAAGTAGTGAGAATTATGGCTTTTGAAAAAATTCATAATCTGTTACTCTGATTCATGAAAACAGTACAAAAGCTGCACATAAATGGGGTCCTTTGGTCTTTCATCAAAAATTCAGTTCACATTGTGTTTTTCAAATCATTGTGGAAAAATTATGTTATTCAGTCCAATATTATCCAATATTTTTTCTAAAAAATCAACGTTTCTCTTTATGGTTACCCTTGGCCGATTAAGCTTTGGGAAGCCACTACAGCGCAAGGGAAATAATCCTTATGTGTAAAAATTCAAAAATTAATTTTTGTTTAGTTCCCTTTTATGGAAATTAAATTAAATTATTTTTTCCATTTCATATCATATAACACAACGACTTTTTCATAATTATTATATATTATAATATTAATAATAAAAAATTATATATTATAAAGAAGGTATTTCCCTATCATTTGAAGTCATGGCATTTCAAATAATCCCTAACCAAAAATAGTTTCTGCACAATTAAACCCGAATAACCAAAAATAATAATTAATTAAAAATTAAAAACAAGAATCAAAACTGCTCTGCAGAGGACTGTAGTTGGTTGTTGTTCTCAGACTAATCTATAACAACAATAATTATATAAATCTGATAGGGGAAGTTTTGGCTGGTATTTAATTGGGTTTTCTCATTGTAAGGATATCAAAACTACGGGAGAAATATTTACGGTATAAATTTGATTTTTCACAACACTAACACTAAACTGCTAAATACTTAAAAATTTAATATTAGATAGGTGGATCAGGCCAGGTGTGTAGAGCGAAAAATCTTTGTTTTATAAGAAAATCCGAATTCAAGACAATTTTTTTTTTTAATTTTTTTTTTTGAAATATTTTTATTATTTTTATCTTGAATTTTGACTCAAAACACCCCTGGTTTCCACCAAATAATTGACATATTCTTACACTTTTACAACTCTTCTAATATTTGTACATTTATATCTGACTATAAATATTTTAGGAAAAATCTTCATAGAATATAAATATTTGTGCAGCATTTCACTGTTTGGATTTAATTTATTTAGTTGTTTCTTTTTTTTTTTCAAAATATATTCATATTCTTCAATATTTACTACTACTTTCGATTACCATAAGAAAAAAAGTTGAAGTAAAAAAAATAAATATATTAGTAAAGCTTCTTTACAAGCTTTCGTTTAAGATCTACAGCAACTTAGTTGGAAATTGTTAACTGAAAAAAGTACAAACAAAATAAACAAGTTGAGAGAAACTAAAAGAAGCTTTTGGTTTCGAACTTAAAAAAGAAAAATTAGGACTTTGGACAAATGTTTGTTAAGGTGTATTTATTCAAACAAAAAAGTTTTGTCTTGTTTCTATTTAAAGGAAAGTTAAATTTGAGGATTTTATATAGTTTTAAAGCAACCGAAAATTTAAAGGAATTCTTTAATTAAAAATTGTTTTTTTGTTTGTTTGGGAATGTTTGTTTAATTTTTCTTTTCCTGTAGGATTGAGGTTTCGATTTTGGTTTTCTGAATAAAAACTTTTTTCTTACTTAAAGGGAACTCATTTCAGGGATTCATTACCACGTAAATTACAACTCAAAGTAATCAAGAAAACAAGGGCCCCAAGCCCTCATTGGAACATTTGAATGTGCCGAGATTGAGAGGAATCGGATGCTCATATTGCGATTTATAATTGCGCGAAACTCGAAGACAATCG